TCCTACTCCCGGTGGGCCGGCCCTCCCCCTCCCCCACTCCTTTATATACGGGGGAGGGGCACCCCATAGACACACAAGTTGATCATTGATCTCTTAGACATGTGCGGTGCCCCCCTCCACCATAATCCACCTTGGTCATATCGTAGCAGTGCTTAGGCGAAGCCCTGTTCCGGTAGCATCAACATCACCATCATCACGCCGTCGTGCTAAAGAAACTCTCCCTCGACACTCTGCTGGATCATGAGTTCGTGGGACGTCACCGAGCCGAACATGTGCAGATCGCGGAGGTGCCGTAACTTCGGTACTAGGATCGGTCGATCATGAAGACGTACGGCTACATAAACCGCGTCGTCATAACGCTTCCGCTTACGGGCTACGAGGGTACGTGGACAACACTCTCCCCCTCTCGTTGCTATGCATCACCATGATCTTGCGCGTGCATAGGAATTTTTTTGAAATTACTGCGTTCCCCAACACGCATAGCCTATACCATGCCAATGCTTTTCCCTTCAAAGATAAAGGGAAAACCTTTTTCATAACTTTATCTCCGGGTAAACCTGTAAGCTTGAACAATCCACAAATTAGTTCCACATATATCAAGTGCATATCATGATGTTTGGTTCCATCTCCTGCATAAGGATTAGCTAGCAGTTGTTCTATCATACCCGAAGAAATTTCATATTTAATATTTTTAGTAGGTGCAGTAGGTTGAGGGGTAGCTAATTGTGGTTCCGGACGAGGTGAAGATACCCCGAATAAACCCCTCAAAGGATTGTTTTCCATAGTAACAAGTGACAATAAATTTCAGCACACTATATAAATGTTTCCTTACCAAATTCCACTTACCAAAGGCGCTTCACTCCCCGGCAACGGCGTCAGAAAATAGCCTTGATGACCCACAAGTATAGGGGATCAATTGTAGCTCTTTTCGATAAGTAAGAGTGTCGAACCCAACGAGGAGCAGAAGGAGATGACAAGTGGTTTTCAGTAAGGTAATGTCTGCAAGTGCTGGAACTGTAAGTAACAGGGTAGTTTGATAACAAGATAATTTGTAACGAGCAAGTAATGATAGTAGTAACAAAAGTGCACCAAGGTAGCCCAATCCTTTCGAGGCGAAGGACAGGCCAAAACGGTCTCTTATGATAGCAACGTGTTCTTGAGGGTACACGGGAATTTCATCTAGTCACTTTCATCATGTTGGTTTAATTCGTGTTCGGTACTTTGATAATTTGATATGTGGGTGGACCAGTGCTTAGGTGCTATTCTTACTTGAACAAACCTCCTACTTATGATTAACCCTCCGCAAGCATCCGCAACTACGAGAAAAGTATTAAGAATAAATTCTAACCATAACATTAAACTTTTGGATCCAATCGGTCTCTTATGGAATAGCGCATAAACTAGGGTTTAAGTTTCTGTCACTCTCGCAACCCATCATCTAATTGCTACTCCACAATGAATTCTCTTTGGCCCAAAATATGATGAAGTGTCATGTAGTCGACATTCACATGACACCACTAAGGGAATCACAACATACCTACTATCAAAATATCGAACACATATCAAATTCACATGATTACTTGCAACATGATTTCTCCCGTGACCTCAAGAACAAAGGTAACTACTCACAAATGATAAACATGCTCATGATCAGAGGAGTATTAAATAGCATATTGGATCTGAACATATAATCTTCCACCAAATAAACCATATAGTAATCAACTACAAGATGTAATCAACACTACTAGTCACCCACAAGTACCAATCTATAGTTTCGGTAACAAGATTGAACACAAGAGATGAACTAGGATTTGAGAGGAGATGGTGCTGTTGAAGATGTTGATGGAGATTGCCCTCCCCAAGATGGGAGAGTTGTTGGTGATGATGATGACGATGATTTCCCCCTTCGGGAGGAAAGTTCCCCCGGCGGAATCGCTCTGCTGGAGGGCAAAAGTGCTCTTGCCCAAGTTCCGCCTCGAGGCGGCGACGCTTCGTCCTGAAAGTCCTCCTATTATCTTTTCTAGGTCAAAATGACTTATATACCAAAAGATGGGCACCGGAGGTGGGCCGAGGGGAGCGCCACCCACCAGGGGCGCCTGGGCTGTCTGACGTGTGCCCACCTGGTGGGCCCCTTCTAGTACTTATTGGCTCCAATAATTCTTAAATATTTCATACAAAATTCTCGTGAGGTTTTAGCTTGTTTGGAGTTATGCAGAATAGGTAGCCTGACGTAGATTTTCTAGGTCCAGATTTCTAGCCGCCAGAATTCTCACCCTTGGCGTGTAGCTTGCAAATTATGAGAGAAGATGCATTAGAATTACTCCAAAAAGCATTATTATGGATAAAAACAATATAAATAACAGTAAGAAAACATGATGCAAAATGGACGTATCACCCATCGTGATTCGTTTTGACGGGATGAAAATAGCTGACCCCCTAGAGGTGGCGCCGCCCCAAACGACCGCTCATGCGAGCGCGCACGATCGCATGGAACATCGTCGTTCGCTATGGAAGCGTGACAACAACTGCTTCATTGGCCTTCTTGCTTGATTTTTCTATTGAAATTTTTTATCACCTTTAATAAGTGATTCCACTACCATTTTTCTGTGTTTCTCCATTAAATGAATATTACTCCAAAAGACGTCATCTGAAGGATCATCAACAAAAAGAAGTGCGCGAACGCGGTAAAATTCCACAAAGCCCACCTCGTAAGCACAAAATATAAAGGAAAAAACATCACGTAAATTGGACTCATCAGGCCGCCGCACCTTCTCACTTCGCCCTCTCCTCCTCCCCCCCGGTAAAAATCTTCTAACCTTTTTCGGCGGATCTTGGGTTGGGTCGATAGGGCCACCGGTTTCTTCCTCGGTGGCTTGGGCGGCGGTCTTGGCTATGAAAAGGTTCCACTTCAGTTGCCCATTCAACTTCAACCGACAAATGCATGACACTGAATTTGTTCTTCTCTAATTTCTAGCATGAGAAGGCTACAAAGCGAAACATCGTCAACAATGCATATCCGACTAGTGATCAACTTACTTGCTCAATGATTTCTGCACCGCTAGGCCACAATGCGATGAGATTCTTCAAGTGCCCGCAATACTTCGACACGACCTCTTGGATGGTGTATCATCGATGGTTGAGGGACTTCGATTCCTGGTTGCAAATGGCCGCGTTGGAGTAGGGAGCGAAATGCTTGTGTTCATGGAACCAGGTGTGAATGTTGTATCCAAAATGTTGCGCCCTTTTGCTCTATACCATGGATCAGATGGAGGCTAGTGGCCAACCATGCATCACACAACAACTCGTCGTCCGCACGTTGAAGCTTTCTCCTCTACCTTTCTTCTTCAGATCGTCGGCTGTATCATCTGGATCATCATCCTCGATGTCCTTCTCCTCCTGCTGCTGTTCGACGGCGCAATGTTGTTGTTGTTCGTGTGCCCACGCTGACCTGGGTGTAGGACTGTTGTCTGCCCGTCTGGATCTAGGACTATTGTTGTGGGTAGTTGTCGGACTGGGTGGGATCCAAGTCTTCCACCTGCCCGTCCTCATAGCCACATCCTCCTCCTTCGCCTCTGTCGTGGATGATGTCGAGCATCTCCCTGTCCGGGTCCTCGTACGCCGTCTCCCCCGCTCTAGGCATTGGAGTGAACAAACGTGCGGGCACCCATCCGCTCCCCGCTCGCCGTCCACGCCCCGGCGAACTGTGGCGAAGAACTCTAGGAGAAGAGCAGTGCCACATTTACGTCGATGATGTAAGGCACCTTCCCGGGAGGGGTTCCAAGCTGTTTGGCAGCGTAGAAGTACGGAGGCTTGTAATGCTCCAGCCACAACACCGCCTGTACTGTGGGCGTGCCCGTCTGGGCACCACGGCCTCCGCTGTGACATCCGCCACGTCTGCCACGACCACCACGCCTGATGCCACCACCACGCCCACCGACAGTCATCCGCTTTTTGAGCTTCTCCTCCTTTCCGGCCTTCGCTTTGATGCGTAGCCGAGCTGATCTTTCGGGCGAGCGCGAGGAGAGTGGTGGGGGCGAAAGAAGAGAGTGAGGGATTTTGGCATGAGAAACAATGTGGGTTACTACAAAGCACGGGCCATGCCTTCCTTTTGGTGGGTCAAGGGGGTTAGAATCCGACATTTCTCATGTCCGAACTCCCGCACCGCCGCCGTTTGGTTCCGGTTTGCGAGAAATCATGTTGCGGACCGCACCGCGGACCGATACAGGACCGCGTTGGATGGCTTCTGGGGTCCGGACAGCTGAGTCCGGACGGATGCAGACGGTTTGAGAGTCGGCGTTGGAGAAGCCTTATTCACACATTTCAGTCCGTATATAATCCATATTAAAATATTCAAAACATCTCATTTTTTGTGAACAAAGAGAGTATATAAAATAGACAAAAATGGGTCAAGAAACAAAATAACAGATATTCCATCGCGATGCCAAACGAATATTACTTCCTCCTTCCGGTCTACATACATCGGTTTAAGCGTCAACTTATTCGGGACAAAGGGAGTGTAGTACGTACTTTTATTCGCGAAAATAAAAAAAAACTTACTAGTGCAGGTGGCCCAATTTTAGAAACCCACACGATGTTTACGGCCACCCAAAGCCACCCTTTGCCGTAGGCGCGATGACAGCGCCCGCCCATCGTCCACGCCACGCGCCCCGCGCCCCGCGCCACCGGCCGCCGTCCCGTTTCAAAACGTCGTCAACCGCACCACGCAACCGCTCCCCCTGTTGGTAAGAACGCGCAGACCGTCCCACCGCCACGCGGGACCCACGACGCGCGGCCCCACACGTCATACGCCCACGGACCGCCATCACCGATTTGGAAGTGAACATACGAATTTCCCCCGAAAACATTTCCCTCCCACGGGTCGCGCCTCCCGCCCAACCCTACCGCAACCCCCCTTCAAATACCGCCGCTCTCTCCTCCTTCCACAGCATCCCACCCGTCCCATTGGCCCAGTCCGCCCCCCGCCGTCACCCGGACCCCACATGGCAGCCACGCGCAAGCCCCGATCCCCGTCCGCCGCCGCCGCGGCCGGCGACCACCTCCGCTTCCTCCGCCCCGGCGCCCTCGCCCGCCTCCGCGACGCCAGGCTCCGCCGCCGCTCCAAGCCCGCCTACTCCCGCCCGGCCCCGGCCTCGCCGCAGCCACAGCCGTCCCCCTCTCCCCCTCCCGCGCCCGCGGCGGGCGGGGACGGCGAGAGCGGGCCCTTCGTGCCCTACGTCGTGCCCGGGTCCAGATTCCTCGCGCCGCGCTGCCCGCAGCGGAAGAAGCTCACGGCGGGGAAGGTGGTGCCGCTCTTCTCGCCGCCGATGCCCAGCCCGGACCTGCCATTCGAAGCGGTTATGGAGTTCTTCAACGCGCCGGATATGGTCGTCGCCGCCCACTAGATGGGACCCGTCGTCTTGTATTAGTCGTGGTATACTTGTAGATGCAGGGATCTAGTCCCCTCCTTGTCAATCTAGCTTCATGTCTTACAGTTTATCGTTTACCTTGTTTGTCTGTACCAAATCGATGTGAAAAACAAATACTATAAACAATAGTTCTGCAGAGTTTTGTGTAACTGCAAAAATGTGGAGGAGAAGTGCCAATTTGTCATGCTTTCCTTCTACGATCATTCAGGATACTTTGTTCTGTGCTTGCTTATAGGCACATACATGCGGTGCTAGGGGAATCCAATTTCTTGTCAGATGTGTATCTAGTTATCAATGGACATCATCAGCATCTGGTTATCCTTTTAGAAATGGTATGTATTTTCTCAACTCTAGTTCAATTTTGTTGATTCAGATTACTTGAATCTTGCAGTTGTCAGTTCATGCAGACAGTATTGGTTAAGAAAGACTAGTTCAACTTGGTTGATGTAGATTACATGCTGTTAGTAGTTCAACTTGGTTGATTTAGATTATATGAATCTTGTTGTTAGTGGTTCAACTTGGTTGATGTTGATTACATGAATCTTGCCGTTAGCAGTTCAACTCTTGTTCAACTTGGTTGATTCTGATTACACAAACCTTGCTGTTAGCAGTTCAACTCTAGTTCAAGTTGGGTGATGTTGATTACATGAATCTTACTGTTAGCAGTTCAATTCTTGTTCAACCGGGTTGATTTTGATGACATGAATATTGCCGTTAGCAGTTCATGCCATTTCTGCAATACAGTTAGGTTGCTTATGGTAAATTTTGACCTATTGATGCTTATGGTAATTTTTGACAGTTCATGCCGACAGTATTTGTTAAGAAACACTATACATCTTAGGTTTGGACATTGGCATCTTCTGGTATTGCCCACTAATTGCTGGGTTGTTACATTACTACCTTCCTTATCCTCCTTTTCTGCAACACAGTTCATCATGTCATATTTGCTCTGCTTTCAGCACCTTCTACTACAATCATAATTCAACATCTCTTGATAACCAAGTTGTCATGCTTGATGTCTGAACAAAGCTGACTAATACATCTCTTGATAACCAAGTTGTCATGCTTGATGTCTGAACAAAGGTGGCTAACACCTCTCTTGATAACCAAGTTGTCATGCTTGATGTCTGAACAAAGGTGATTAACACATCTCTTACTAATCATGTTGAATTATGCCTGTCCTGTACCCCTAATCTCTAATTATGTTTCATTACTGCACAGGAATATGTTTTCAATCATTATATGTTGAGAAATACACTTAACATATACCCCTCTGACTTGTATCTCTAATTATGTTCCATTACTGCACAGGGTTATGTTTTCAATTAGTATATGTTAAGAAATACACTTAACATCTTAATTTCCTATGTTTTTTTTTTAGAACGAAGGCTCGCGAGGAGCCCGGCTTTGAATTAACAAAGCCATCAACCGGCCAGGAGTTACAGCAAACAACCAAATTACAGCGGTCAGAAGGATACAATGGGAACACTGGACTGAAACGCTAACTACAACCTCCACAAGCAGCTAAAGCAAAGGAAATTAAGATTACAGCTTGCAAAGGCCGAGCACTCCACACTAGGATCATATGAGGAAAAGCAGAGCAGCAAAGCAGGGCATATCTGACCTTCAAAGATGGCCATGCTCCAGGAACACCTAGAGAAGAAGGGGAACAACATCTTCCATCTCAATCACCGAAGAGGGACCCTACCCCCTCGCCATGGCTCGTAGGCGCCGCACCGTCGGGGTTTCGAGGAGCTCACCCTAGAGCTCGAAGAATGCCGCCCTCACATCGGAAGGTGGACATAGTGCGACCACTTCAATTTGGGATATCCCTAGCCGGCCGCTCCGCCACGGTCCATGCCCAGCTAGGTGGAAATATGCTTCGTGGAATCGGACGATGAAGAGGAGGCAGCTCCGTCCCTCACCTGCAGCGCCTCCCGACCGCATCCCGCCTCCCTAACGGTGCCTCCAGCAAGGTCACGGCGCGCAAGGCGGCGCCGCCGCCAAATCCGAGAGGATATAAGGTTTTCACCCGGGCAGGGTGGGTCGGGGTGGAAGCAGGGGACCTCGGCTGCGCCCCCATGGAGGAAAGCAGCGCCCTTGGGCGTTGCCGCCGCCGGACCGGCCGGACCGGCCAAGGTTTCCCCCGGTCCCCTAGCTGGCCACCAACTCGCACCAACGCCAGGGCCAGAGAGCAAATCACAAGCCACCGCCGACGGCGAGAGAGAGGTAGCCGGGAAGGGATTTCGAACCTCCAGATCTGACGAAGAATCTTCGCGCCGCGGCCGGATTCCACCAACCACCCGCCGCCCGCGCGGCCAGGCACACTGGCCAGCACCCCTGCGAACGCCGCCCGCCGCCGCCGCCTCTCCGGTTGGGGCCGCCGCCCCAGGAACCGCAGGCCTCCGAGAGGGGCTGGAGCGCCGAGATCCTTGCCGCCACCTTCACCGGCGCCCGCGCAGGCTTCCCGGCGGCCGTCTCCGGTAGCGGCGAGGGGAAGAAGGG